ATAGATTGAGTCCTGCCTCCTTAACATAAGTGCATCTAATCCTGCCTCATTAACATCATAGAGGTAGGATTTACAACACATAGGAAAATCCTATCAGATGACAAAATGGTGGACAATCACACAATACTGAGAATCATGGCCTAGCCAAGTTGACAGATATATTGGGGGGACACAATTCAATCCATGACAGGTAGGTACTATTATTACCCCCCATTTACAGATGAGGAAACTGAGCCATAGACAAGTCAAGTACCTTGCTTAGTAGTCTGGAACCCAGGTAGTATGGCTCCAGAGTCCCTGCCTCTAACCATTTCACCTGCTAGCTAGAGGTTTCAGTCACGTAATATACAAAAAGCGGAGCTCAGGGCCTAGCTCTGATGACATGCTCCATAAACGGCACTTAGTGACATTATTATTAAGTATAACATTAAGGCTCTGGTTAAGTGAGGGCAGAGCCTCCTTGGCTTTTCTATCTTCTTCTTTGCCCATGTCCAGCCATCAGTCACCACCTCAGGGCCCCTAATGAGGTAATTAGGGTGGGTTATCAGGAACCAAGAGGGTGTCTAATCTCGGGGAGCTCGTGAAAGGGTCTTAGAGCACTCACCAATGGGAGCAAGAAGGGGAAATGTCCAGGGTGAGTTGGAGGGAAAAGGGGAAGGAGGGTGGTGTGGGGTGGCTGGGTTCCTTTTCTGTTTGCCACGCTGCAGTGGCGTCTGGGAGCCAACTCACAGAGCCTGAGAGGGGTGAGGCAGTGCCAGCTGGGGCTTGATCTCTGGGTCAGCAGCCAGGAGTACCTGGGAGTTGGTTGGACCCAGATGTGGGTGCCTGTGAAGACACTCCGGAGGACTCCCACATGGGGTGTAGGGCCTGCCAGAGTAGGGAGGGGAGGGAGTGCCTGCTTGGCCCCACTGCAGACCACATCTAATCTCTCCTTCTGTCTCTCTGGGATTCAGCCCGCCCCAGTTGACTGTGTTCTCGACCCCTTCTCCTTCCTTCAGCTCCTGTGATTGTGCCTCTGGGTTTCGGAGTCTCCTGTTTCCCACAACCTGTAAATAGTCTCATTTGTTCCTCTTTGTACCCCTCAAAGAAAGTATTATCTGCATTTTACTGATGAGGACACTAAGGTGCTTTAGAGGGGACATCTGCCCAGGGTGACATGGTAAAGAAAGGGGAGAGGAGGAATTCAAGGCTTTCTCTGCCCGACTCAAAGCCTGAGCTGGTCCTCCCTCCTCAGCCCTCTGAGGTCGAGCTCCTTGTCGGGGGCTGTCGACTGGACACTCCGCCAGCAGGGTCTGTGGTGAAGTGGGGAATGGGACTGTCTGAGGACAGAGCTTGGCCCATGAGGAGCCTCCACTTCTGTGGGTGGCAGGTGGAGCCGGAGCCCAGGAGCAATTCCTTCCGGCCACAGCTTTGGGCTCCAGATAGGTGCTTTACTGCTCAGCCTGCACAGTTTTGGGGACGAGTCCTGTGTGAGATGTTGGAGGGGTCTCCCATGTTCTTTGTTGCCCCTTGGGCGTGAGCGCTGTCCTGTGTTCTGATTTCCCTCCAATCCTTTCCCTGTGCTGCAGCCAGAAGCTTTTCAACAGGTAAATCATTTCATGCCACTCCCCTGCTTAAGATCCTTCCATGGCTTTCCTAGTGCTTCCAGGATACAGTCCCAGCCGCTACCACACTGAGTCTGGCCTGCCTTCCTCTCTGCCTCATCTTTCCAGTGACCGCTTGCTCTCTGAACTCCAGCTACCTTACCTTTCCCCCACCTCCCTGCTTCCTTCCTGAAGCCTTCAGCACAGGCTGTGAGGCCTCATCCCTCACCCGCCTCCTCTCTCCCATCTACCCCACTACTTCAGTGTCCCCTCCTCCAAGAAGCCTTCCCTGGCCACTCTGTCTAAATTGTTAAAAAGATCTCTCTTGGTGGCTGTTGGGGAGGGTGCCAGAGAAGAAGAGATTCATTTGAGAAATATTTAGGAAGCAAAATAATTAGGACTTGGGGATTGGCTCTGGGTGGAGGAGGGGGATGGAGGAGGTGGGAGGTTTGGCCAGCAGACTGGACACAGGAACCATTTTTGGAAATGCGGAGGCTGGGAGGAGGAGAGATTTGGGGGAAGGGGAAAGGTGGCTTTAGTTTTGGCCGTGAAGGGTAGGAGGCACCTGCGCCACGTTCAGGGCCGTCAGACGCTCGGCCTGTCTTGGTTGCTGCCACTGCTCAGTGTCAGCCCAACATAGGCCGCAAAGGATGGTGTGTAGAGGTGGAGAACCGGAAGGTGAGGACCGCTGGATCCTGGGTTAAAACCGTGAAAGGAGCTGAGCTCATCTGGGCAGAGTCTGAAAGAGAGGGGTCTGAAGGAAGAGCCCCACCAGGAAGCTGTGGGGTCCTGGGAGTTGAAGGAAGACCATCAGCAGAATCACTCAGAGCCAGTCCCGTGGGCCCAAAGCAGATGTGGCCACTGAACATGGCAATACAGGAGCCAGAAGCCTGAGCATCACCTCCCCTGCCTGCCACCTGCCAGCTCCCTCATGATATCCACAACCCGGTAATTCACAAGTGGTGCAATCTGCAGAAGGGGGTCCCTGGGGGTGCAGACGGTAAACCACGCTTGGCTGCTAACTGAAAAAGTTAGAGTTTGCGTCCACCCAGAGGCACCTTAGAAGAAAGGCCTGGTAATCTACTTCCGAAAAACCAGCCATTGAAAACCCTACGAAGCACAGGGTTCGCCGTGAGTAGCAGTTGACTCTAGGACAGCTGGTGTTACCGTCTGCAGAGGCCACGGTTCCTGGGGTGGCTGCATGAGGGTGACTCTGGGAGGCTTAGTCAGGGACAGGGGCTCAGGTGGACACAGGGCCTCTGACCTCTGGATGCCAGGAGTGCAGCAGGGGCTCCATCTCCCCACAGTGTGGAGGCTGGCAAGGGGCCACGCGTAGTGGGCTGACTGGCAGGCTGGTGGGCACTCACAGGGCCTGGGGTCACCAGGCAGGGAAGGAGGCGTGCTCAGAGGGCTTTGTGGAGCAGATGTCTATGTAGGGGAACATTTTAATAGTTTTAATAACAGAGGCTCTTAAAGGGCTTAAACACATTTGATCAAACTCCTGTCTGGCCATTTCCTCCCCTCTGCTTTCTGTTCTCACTTTGAGCCCTAATTGGATGGTTGAACCTCCTAATTTAATCTTCTAATTTCCTTAACCTTTTGTTCCCAATCTTCTATGTTCTGGAAGATTTTCTCAGTTTTATCTCCCATGCCTTTAATTGCATCCTGACTGTTGCTGCCATACACTCTTTTAAATTTCTAAGAGCCCTTTCTAATCTCTGAATGTATCCTTTTTCAAAAAAAAAGGCATCCTGGTTTTGCGTCAAGTATGTACTATCTTCTCATTTCCTTGAGGATATTAATTTTAGGTGTTTTCCTCTGCTTGTTTGTGCTTCAATGTTCCTTCCGTCTATTCTCTCATTTTGGTCTCTGTCCCTCATGTTAGAAGTATTTCTTGAATGTCTGGCCTTCCTTGGCCTCTGTTCCTTTATCTTAAAAGTGGGAAAATGGAGGCCCAGGGTGACGCCTTGAGTCGGGACAGAGCCAGACAGTACAGGAGACAGGAGCTTGCTCCTGGTTCTCTTGGCTGGGACGGGAGGCCGAGATGCTAATGGGGAAAAGGAAGCCCCAGGGATTGCCTGCACCAGCCCGTGCAGGGGTTGTGGGCAGGGAGGAGAGGGCTCCGAGCTGGAGGGCAGCTCAACTAATGTCGGGCCCTTTCCCAGCATGCTGGGATGACCTAGTCTCTCTGATGTGCCGGCCAGATTGAGGGCGGGAGGCAAGTCTGGGTGCTGGCACCTGCCCTGGGAATTGGGATGCTGCAGTTGTTCCCCTGACAACACCTGGCCTGGCACAGGACCAGCTGGCTCTACCCACCCGCTTCTGGGGCTGAGGAGAAAGTCGCAGACTTGTCTCTTGGGCCCACCAGGATGAGTGTGTGTGTGCATCTGTGTGTGTGTATGAACTTCAACCCGTTTATTCCCTTGAGATTTGCTGATTCGTCGTCGTCTTGGGGTCAGGAGGTGCTAAAAGGGTTCAGTCCTGGTTCCATATGCCTCTGCCTCAGTTTTCCCATCTGTCCAATGGGAGGAGTTGGATGGAGAGATCTCATTTCCTGTCATGGTCCAAGTATGTTCCATGCTGCCTGGTCAAGCCCGCCCTGGACTCGTCCATTTCCTTCATTGTTTTTGTCCCCAGGAAGAGAGGGATCCCCCTCCCGGCTGACACAGTGGAGGAGCTGCAGAACATCATCGGCATGGACAAGCCGCTCGCCCTCACAGAATTCCTGGCCAAGTTTGACTACTACATGCCTGCTATCGCGTGAGTTGCCCTTAACCCTCAGGCCTTGAGGCAGCATCCATCCTTGTGGGCGTGAGAGGACCACGCCTGTGACCCGTCCTGTGGGGGTGGGAGGAGGCACTCTGAAACCTCAGCTCTGCTTCTCACAGTGGTGTGTACTTGAGCAAATCTCTTCACGCTTTTGGGCTTCAGTTTCCCTTCTTGAAAGTGGTGTGAAGGGCTGAAATTCCTTCTGCTTCTACAGAGAAGTGGCCAAGTACAAGGGCAGAGCACAGATGCTAACACAGGTAGTCCCTGACTTACAACAAGGCTCTAAATCCAGTCTTTATTTGTCTTTGGTGGTTGGAAACATTACGTAAAGCTTACAGATATATTTTAATCCATATATAAAAAGTACACAAATCATACAGGTTTACTCCAGCGATGCAGAAGAGTTGGACAACGTTGGCATTTTGTCCATTGCAGTAATAACTCCACTTGTGGAAGGTTCTGGATCCATCTGGAGTACCGTAGGAATGGGGATGGTGTTTCTAGTCAGAAAATTCGTGAGAGTTGTCTGTATGGTCCTTTTTTTTTCTTTTCTTCATAAACTTCAAGGTAACATCTCACTGCTTCCCGAACCTGCCTATTGACTTTAGCAAAGCGATCAGCGTTTGCGTCCCTGTTTTCAAGTAACTGAAGCCCCTGATTTAGTTTAGAAAACTAAATCTATATGTCATAAAATTGAACATCTGTGAGTGAACATCTGCGAATGATAACACCGGCAAATTACCTGCTGCAATACTGTATGTAACACATATCACTAACGATAAGCTGTACCGACACAACAACAAAAACGGGTGGTCGGAAGTGTGGTTCGTCAGACCTCGAATACATCCTAAGTCAGGGACTACCTGTACTCAGGCTTTGAGGACAAGGATGGACAGATGCTGCCAAGGCCTCTCCCACCCCAGCACAGCAGGTGTGGAAAGCCCTGGGGCAGGGGTGGAGCCAGGGCCTGTTTCCTGGAACTCAGCCCTGCCACAGTGAGCTGGGCCTTTTGGGGAGAAGGGTACCTCTGCTTTCCAGACACCTGCCTGCCCGATCTCCGCCACAGCCAATGCCCACTAATAACAGCCGCTAAAATACTTGGAGCACTTGTCTACACTGTTCCAGGCCCTGGCCTAAGTGCTTGAGGTTTAACCGGGCTGGTCCTCACAGTAATCCTTTGTTGTAGGTATCAGAGAGGGGGATTAACTAGGCCAGGGCCACACGGCAGGCAAATGTGGGAAGCAGGCCTCAGTCCATAACTGAGTCCCAGTGTCTCTCCCACCCCAGAGCTCTTCTGGATTTGTCCGTCTGTCCTTTTATCTTGTTCTGTTCCCTGCCAGCCACCATCCATCGCTCAACAAATACTTGAGTGGCCACTATTACCTAGGCTTTGTCCTCAGCTGAGCACAGAGGTCGATGAACGAGTCCCTGCCCTTCTGAAGCCTACATTCTAGTAGATGAGACAGAAAATCAGCTAATGGAGAAACATACAATATATAATGCCAAGTGGAGATAAGGGCTATGAAGAAAAATCAAGCTCAGGGGAGGGGTAGGGAATGGCGGAGGTGCTGTTTTAAGGGAAGGTGATCAGGGAAGGCCTCTCTGAGGAGGTGACTCTGGAGCTGAGATCTAAATGGAGGGAGGGATGGAGTGTAGAAGATCTGGGGGAAGAGCCTGCAGCAGAGGGAGCTGCAAAGGCCCTACTGTGAGAATGAGCTTGTGTGATCCTTGGACAGAAAGCAGGCTCTGGTGGCTTCATGGAGGGGAAGAGGCTGAGGAGGTTGGCAGGGGTGGACACGCAGGCCTTGGGGCCGGGGATGTGCAATGGGATTTCATGCGGAGGGATGCCATTAGCTTTAGAGTAGAGGAGCAAGATGCTTTGATTTGTATTTTTAAAAGATGGTGCCGGTCACCGTGTGAAGAGTTACAGGGGCAGGCATAGAGGCAGGGAGGCCAATTAGAGAGAGGAGGTGGTTCAAACACGGGTGGAGAGGGTGACAATTGGAACGTAGTTTGGAAATCAAGTTGACGGGACTTGCCGTGTGTCTGGGGTCTTACCAAGCAGATGCCCAGAGCTGGGGGCTAGGGTCATAGATGGGTTTGATCTGCTGAGGGCTGGGAACAGCCTCGTTGCTCCTGGAGCTCCCAGGCAACCTGGGCAAAGATTGTCCCCAACACCTTTCTTCCCTTCCCAGGGGCTGCCGGGAGGCCATCAAAAGGATTGCCTATGAGTTTGTCCAGATGAAGGCCAAGGAGGGCGTGGTGTACGTGGAGGTGCGCTGCAGCCCACACCTGCTGGCCAACTCCAAAGTGAAGCCCATCGCCTGGAACCAGCCTGAGTGAGTGACCGCCCGGAAGGGGCTGTGCTGAGGATGTGGTAGTGGCCCTACCCTGAGACCCACCCCAGGGCCAGACTGGCAGGCATCCCTGTCCCAGGCAAGACTTTGATTTGGCCCCTGATCTGCTCCATGGCTTCAGAAGGATGGGGTTTAATTCTGTCCAGAGATATGGTTCTCATGCCCCACCGTGGGTTTATGCTTGAATTTGGGTTTATGCTTTGACCTTGGGCTTATGCTTTGACCTTGGGTGAAAGCTTTCTGCCGTATCCTGCACCCTGCCCTGTGGGGGCCTAGCTCTGGAGACAGGCCCGTGGCCTGGGGATGTTAACCCACTTACCCAGTGCTTTTCAGGGGCCCTGCTCTAACCCTGTCACTGATATGGGTCTGACCCACACCTGCCCCTTCTTGGATCCCATGGGTCTCCAGGTGCTGTCACTCAACCACCTTGTCCCCTTCTTAGCCATGATTCTGATGCCTGTGGACAAGTAGGGGATCCCTAGGGCCCTGAAGGGGGATCAGACCACACCAAAGCTTAGCAGTACTCCCCACCTGGGGGTGGGGTCACCCACTGGGATATCCCTCCCTGGGTCTGGAGGTGCCCAGGCAGCTGGAAGGGGTGTGTGCTGGGGCTTGGGGCCCTCTCTCTCCCCCTTTCCCCTTCCTTCTTCCCCTTTTTGTCTTTTCCCTGGCCCCCTTTTCCCGTCTCTGCGCCTCTTCCCCAGGTCTGTCCTTTAGGCCTTCCCTTTGCCTCAGGCCCATCCCTGCCCCTCTCCACACGGAGGGGACGTCACCCCAGACGACGTGGTGGCCCTAGTGATCCAGGGCGTGCAGGAAGGGGAGCGAGACTTTGGGGTCAAGGTCCGGACCATCTTATGCTGCATGCGCCATAAGCCCAGTGAGTACCCGCTTCCTTTGACTCCTGCACCGCCTGCCAGCCTCTGGCCCGAACATCCAGCTGACACTGGAGCTGACAGGCCATACCTGTTCTCCCCTGTGTCCCCACCCCCCACCCCGCATGTATTCCCTTGAGCCCATCAGTGGGACCTTGGGGCTTCCAGAAACCACCGGAGCCCTACTGGGCCAGCTCAGAACTTCCTGGTGACAGAGACCTTTCTTACCAGGGAGACTGGGCCTTGAGAGTCATGGAAGCTCAGAAGCCAAAGTGCCTGAAGAGTTTTAAAAAGTCTAAGCAGGTTCTGATGGGCTCACGATCCTCCCTCGAGGCCTTGTGGGCCTGGCCTCATCCGGCCTGGGCCACAGAACCTGTGGAAAGGTCTGATTTCTGGGACTTCCGACAGGTCTCTCTTGTGACTGACACGAATCAGATCTCTGGGGCTTGAGCTTCTGGAGTGCAGCAGCCCCACTGTGTGACCTAGGACAAGTCACATCACCTCTCTGATCTCAGCCAGGTTTTGTCACAGGGAGATAATCCTACCTACCTCATTCCTCTGCTCTAAGGACAAAAGAGAAAACCAAGCAAAGGGCTAACGCCAACCTACAGGGCCTCTTCCGTGGAGAGTGATTGGGGTGCACTTTTCCAATCCTTGTAGCAGCCTGTGTGGTAGGTAGGACAACCATTGTTTATGCCCATTTGACAGACGAGGAAGCTGCGGCAGAGAGAGGTGAAGCCTGTTCCTACTCAGTCAGGAAGGCACAAAGCCCAGATTTGAACCCAGGGCCATCTGGCTCCAAAGCCTCTGTTTGTTTTTTAAAAACATTTCATGATGCCTTTATTGCTCAAGAGTGCATAATATGTTATCAATACATTTAGTAATCCTAGGGTGAGAACGGAGCTGTGGTGACACAATAGTTATGAGCTCGGCTGCTAACCGAAAGGTCGACAGTTCGAATCCACCAGTTGCTCCTTGGAAACCCTATGGGACATTTCTACTCTGTCCTATAGGGTCAAGATGAGTTGGAATCAGGTTTTTTTTTTTTTTGAAGGTGAGATCTGTTTTCGGTTTAAATGTCAAACCGTGTCCTTGGTCCTCTAAACTCTGTGGGCCTCCATGTCCTCGTCTGCTGAGTGGGGGCGAGCCCACTTGTAGGGCTGTGGTGGGGAGGAAGTGAGAGAATGACTAAGCCTGGGCACTGCCCTCCCTGCTTTACATGCATGGCCTTGGCCCAACCCCTGAGGTGGCTGGTAGTGTCCCTCTGAGGGGAGGCTCTGGGTGGAGCAACTAGGCAGAGGTCTGTGGTTTGGGTATGGCAGTTGGGGTTTGAAACATCGTGCTGGGCCCTCTGTCTTGCCCTGGCCTTGGGGTGGGTGGGGTGGGAGTGAGCAGGGGTGGGGTGAACAGGAGGGCCAGGAGGTAGCTCTTTCAGCAGCACTGCTGACAAGGCCCGGGGACATCTTGCCCACAGACTGGTCCCCTGAGGTGGTGGAGCTGTGCAAGAAGTACCGGCACAACGTGGTGGCCATTGACCTTGCTGGAGATGAGACCATCGAAGGAAGTAGCCTCTTCGAAGGCCACTTGAAGGCCTATAAGGTAGGCCCTGTGGGAAGGGGCGGGGAGGGGTCACCCAACGGGGAGGGTGAGGCTCCTGGGTTCCCCAGTGCATTGTGGCTGGTTAGGTGCCATCAAATTGATTCCAGCTCATACTGACCCCATGGGACAGAGCCCCACAGGGTTTTCTCGGCTGTAATCTTTATGGAATCAGATTGCCAGGGCTTTTTCCTGCACAGTTGCTGGGTGGGTTCAAACCACCAGCCTTTCAGTTAGCAGCCAAGCTCAACCACTGTGCTACCAGGGCTCTGAGATGGAGAGCTTGGTGTACAGAAAAGACCCCACTTGATGTTGGGAGCCTCAGTCTGAGCCTGTTTCTGCCTATGATTTGCTGTGTGACTTTAAGCCAGACCGTCTCCTTCTCCGTGTACTCCTCTGAGTGAAAACTGAGGTCTCACCAGGTACTTCCCGTAGAAGGGGCGCAGTGTGGTGGCTAAGAGTAGGGGTTCTGGTGTCCCACTGCCAGAGTTCAGAACTGGCTCCCTACTTCGCAGCCATTTGGTCACGCTACTTAACTTTCCTGAACTCGGTAACCCCCTCCCCATAAAACAGGAATTATAATAGATGTGAATAATATGTACACAAATCAGTACAGTGCCTGACACATAGTAGCTATCTAACCAATGTTAGCGGTCTTTAAATAATGATTAAGCAAAAAGACCAGACTTCCCATCGAGTTGAACCCAACCCATCCTGACTGTGGGTGGTCTGAGCCCGCCAACACTCGGGCCCACAGGGTAGTGAAGGCTGGGGCTGCCATGACCTGGCTGTTACCTTCTCAGGAGGCTGTGAGGAGTGGCTTTCACCGGACTGTCCATGCCGGGGAGGTCAGCTCAGCTGAAGACGTGAGACAGGTGAGAAGGCCACTGGCCATGGGGCCCCTTCCTCCCTGCTTCCTCCTGTCCCGTACTTGGGCTCCACTTTGTTTCTCTGCAGGCTGTGGACAGGCTCAAGATGGAGAGGCTGGGACCTGGCTACCACACCCTGGAGGACAAGGCCCTCTACAAGAGGCTGCTGCAGGAAAACATGCACTTCGAGGTGAGGGGGCCAGGGAGTGGGGAGGAACTGCCCCTGGCTGCCCCACTGGAGGGCTGAGGTCCCGGGAGCGCAAGGAGTGGGCTGGGGGCATTGAAGCCAGTGGGCAGCGGAGAGAGACAAGGACTGATGTGTTCATGGGATTCTGTGACGAGGCTGGTGTGACCATGACAAGAATGGTGCCAGACTAGTTGGGGTTCCAGAGCCATGGGGGTCAGTGTGACCTGGAGCTGTCCCTGCCAACTGCACCCACACCACCTGCTCTTCGATGTCTGCCCTGGTCCAGCTACCTCACAGGCGCCTGGAAGCCAGAGACTGAGCATGCAGTCATTCGGTGAGGCCTGGTCCGCTGGGGGCCATTCAGTTTGGTACCAGGAAAGCCAAGGACAGGAAGGAAATGCAAGGATGGGCACCAGCCCATGCTAAGTCCCAGCAGGCATTACTGTCAGAGATGGGCTTTAACTTGACTGAGGTCACCCAGCTACTAAAACAGAATAGCAAAGCTGGGGGCCTGTCACTCATTCAGCTACAGCGGAGTGCCCCACTGCCCCGAGGGAAACTTCCAGGGTCCTGATTCTCCCACTTTGCCTCAGGGGCATCAGGAAGATGAGTCTCTCCTCCCCACATGTTCCATGCTCCTATTACCTGGCCCTTGGGGCCTCTTGGCACCTCTGGGCATTCCACTTGAAGAGAGTGATGACATTTTGTGGGGTTGGTAACCAATGTCACAATACGTGTATTAATTGTTTAATAAGAAGCTAGTTTGTTCTGTAAACCTTCATCTAAAGTACAATAAGGAAAATAAACAAGAAGATTAATAACCTGAAAAAACCTTCCCATTGAAGGTCTGCCCCACCCTACCCCACCCACACCCAGCAATCTAACTAGGAGGCTCTTGCCTTCCTTCAGGCTGTCCTGTGACTAGAGGCGCCAGGAGGGAAAGCTGCCTTCCCCAGAGCCAGGAGAAGGACAGTGAGGACTTGGGTAACCATTGCCAGGCCAATGCTGGTGAGCCTGCCAGCTTATGAGAAAGGAAGAAACTTGGGCTCTGAAGTCCTGATTAGAAGGGATCCTGAGAACTTGCAGGGGCCCTGAAGGGATTTTAGGAATGTGGAGTGTGAGGTACCTGTGGAATGTCCAAGTGGAGATTTATGGAGACACATGGGCTGGAGAAAGATTTCAGTTGTCTGCACAAAGATACGGTGTTTGAAGGAGAAGCGATGGTCCCAAGAGATGTGTAGAGCAACAGGGCCTAGGACGGAACCCAGGGGGACAGTGACACTTGAGTGACAGGCAGAAGAAAAGACAGGTAGGAGGAAAACCAAGCGTGGTTTCTGTGGTATCAAGGGAAGGGATCGCAAGAACAATCAACAGTACTGAATGCTGCTTCACAGTCGAGTACGATAAGAACTAGGAAAAGTCCGTTGGATTTAACAAGATAGTGGTTAAGAAGTCTTGCAAAGAAGTTTCCACGTTGTATTGGAAAAGCCTGACCCCAGTGGGCTTGAGGACTGTCTTGGGCAGGACACATTGCCGACAACTCCTCTCAGAATGTTGGCAGTGAATTGGAAGGCTAAAGAGGGTGTAGCTGGAGGGGGATGTTGGCTCTTCACCAGGCCCCTCTTCTGCTGCCTGGCTCTGGAGAGGCACGCCAAATTTATAGGAGCCCTGGTCTGGCCTGGTAAGACCTGGGCTTGAGTCTTGGATTGCTAGTTATGTAGCCTTGAACAAGTCACCCAAGTTCTCTGGATTTGTTTCTTCCACTGTACAACGAGGATGAGATCTTCCAAGTCTAAGTTAACCATAAGGTTCAAAGGGGGCGAGAGTCAACGTGCATGGACTGTTTGCCGGAGAGTAAATGGAGGTGCTTTTCCTCTCTCCCCCTCATCCTTATTCAGGTTCAAAAATGACAAAGCTAACTACTCGCTCAACACGGATGACCCTCTCATCTTCAAGTCCACCCTGGACACTGATTACCAGATGACCAAACGGAGCATGGGCTTTACTGAAGAGGAGTTTAAGAGACTGGTGAGTGGTATGAGCCATGTCAGCCTTGACTCTGGGACCCGGAAATTCTCCTTCCTTCCTGAGTAGCCTGGTGGTCCTGTCCAGGGGCTGCCACCTTTGGATACGAGGTGCCACTTTGCTTGACAATCCAAGAGACTAATTCAGGCTGAACTTCTGATCTAAGAGGCGGCTTTTTATCCTCTGCTTGGGTTGAGTGCTCTCAAAGACTCTGAAAGCTGTTCACCCTCTTTCCAGAAAGATATGCCCAGCTATAAAACTTTTCATATACATTTCAGGCCATCCATAGATCCCAGGCTGAGCCCTGATCTTACGAGTTATGAAACCTGAGTCTGTCTCTGCAAGAGTGTCTCTCTGGCCCCACAATCCCACCTTGTCTTTCTAAAGGCTTCCCCAACTTTCTTCTCATTATGTATCATGAAGTGAGTGCCACATTAAAAACACAGAGCCTCATGGTCTCTGCTCTGACACTTGCTGTTGTGTGACTCTGGACAAGTCCCTCCCACCCTCAGCTTAATTCCTCATGTTCAGTGAAGATGGACTCTCACTACCCTATCAAGGGCTCCCTTCCATGTTCTTTGGTTCCATGTTGTTTGCCATGCTGACCCTTCCAGAATATCAATGCAGCACAGTCCAGTTTCCTCCCAGAGGACAAGAGAGAGGAGCTTCTGCATGTGCTCTATGAGGCCTATGGAATGGTAGCTCCAGCCTCTGGGTATGTTCCTATCTGGGCTCCTGAGCATTACCCTGCCCTGGCTCCAGACTGTTTCTTGTGGGACTGTGAGCAAGATGCCCTTCCTTTCTGGGCCAGCACCAATGATATATGATCACTCCTGGCTCCAGAGTAACCTCCTAGATTGGCATATGTTATGTACAATGCCGTCTTGAGGATGGAGTCCTCGTAACTGTGTCGAGTCGCCGCCGACACACTTACCTTCATTCCTTCTATGAAGACTGTGATTCAGTAGTCAGCTGAAGCTCTTGAAGCCTGTGTGCCTGTTTATGTACATGGATACCTCAGTGTGTCCACACAGCTGTCCTCTGATTATGTGCCTGGGCCAGGACCAGGGCCATTGCCAATGGGCTTGGTTGAATCGGAAACCCTCCTCCTGGGAATCTGGTGCTCAATAAAGATGTCCATGTTTATTATTGTGGCTGATGTTGTGTGGCACATGGTGGAGTATTGTGGTCTTGGTGGGGTGAGGGTGAGAGGGGCCCCTGGGGCTCAGACTCAGGCAGCCTGCACAGCAGCAGGGACTCCAACCAGGCCCAGTGGAGGCTGTGAATGGGAAGCCGGAGCTTCCAATGCTGGGAGCTAAGAGGGCCGCAGAGCCTGCCTGCCCTCCAGAAGAAATATGACTTCTCTTATGGGTTCTCTGCTTAAATGCTCCCTGAACTCTTAGCCCCCTCCTACTCTAGGTTATACAGGGAACCCCCTCCTCTGGGTTCCTGTAACTGGGCTGGGATAAGAGAGGCTGAGGGAAGAGGACACGCTGGTCACTCGGCCCAGAGCGGTGCCAGCTTCTGGGCAATGCCAGCATTCTCGGGGTTTCACTCCATGGAAGCCTGGAGCAGGAATAGCCCTTAGCTAGTTGTAGGCTTTGGAAGATCAAGGCTCAGCCCCTGCTTTTGCTGATTAAAAGAGAAATAATCATAAGCCAGTCACTCAAACCATCAGCATTTATTTCCTGGATATGCGGTGTCACTTATCTTGATAGAAAGGGCAAGGAGTTGGTCAGATAGTTTTGAGCACAAAATTCCTTCCCTAAAAGTGGATCTGCAAAGCTCCACAAGGGAGCCTCAAGGCTGCATAGATGGTCAATGGGTTTAGCTTAAAATGGCTTCCCCCCCAAACTGAATCCATTGTCAGCTCCCTCCCGCTTTGCTGAAAAACAAGTTTAAAGTATTTAAAAAGTTTAAAAGTATTTTCTTAAAAAACGGATGAGAAGGTCTTGACCCCGAAGGTTGGGGTTGGGGAGAAGGGTTGGTGTTGGGACGTGGTCCCTACCCAGGCCTCCCACTGGGGCTCGTGAGAGGAGCCTTCATGGGTGGGCTGCTCACGCTGGTGAGCAGGGCCCAGCCCGAGTCCCAGGACCGGCTGAATAAATAACATCCTGCAGTTTACAGTGTCTAGAGTGTCTCTGGGCACGGGGAGGAGGTGGAGGGACTGTGGAGCCTGGGTGTGGGCAGAGGGCTTTCCCAGGGCAGGGCCAGGGCAGCCTCTCAGGGGGCCACTCAGCCTGGCCTGGGGACTGGTGGGCAGGCTCACCAGGGACACAGGGCTCAGAAGAGGCTGCCGGGCCAGTGCTGGGGCTCCCCTTCCCGAAAGGACAGCAGGTCTCTCTTCCAGCCTCCTTGGGCAAGGTTGGACTCAGGACGAGGTGGTCCCCTCACTGCTCTCAGGCTGGGTGCTCGCCGCCTTGTCTGGGCTGCTCGCTTCTGCCTGCCCTTCTGGAGAGGAGAGAAAGATGAGGTGTTTCCCCAGGCCTGTGGACATGCATGTAAAGCATGGGAGGAGGGCTGGCAGGGCCCAACAAATTGATAAATGGTGGGTCAGCCCTGGGGGCAGGACAGCAGCTAGACTGGGCTGCCAAAGGGAACTTTAGCCTGGTCTGTGACATTTTAATTTTACACACACATACCTGCAGTGTCACTACTACATTTACAGCTCAAAGGTGAGGGTCTTCGATGGTGCTAAAGCACCAGGGGAGAGGCGGCTAAGGACAAGGAGGCTCGTGCAGGTTCCCCAGAGGGCGAGGGCAACTGTTAAGTCCCCAGCACCTAACAGGAGCTCAGTGGAGGCCATTGTTCTTCTAAGACAGACAAGGGCATTGAACAAGGCCAGCTCAGGGCAGTGCCAGGGTATGGCCTGCATCAGGGGCTGGAACTGGAAGGAGCCCAGTGGCTGCTTCAGTGTGCTATGTCCTTGAGGTCCCAGGGGGAGGGCCTGGGGGTGCTGACAGTGCATCCTGGAATTGAGGAGGGGGGAGTCAGTCACAGTGCTGCTGGCAGCCTCCACCCTTCTCACCAACCCCATCTGGCTGGAAACCTTGGTGAGAAGCAGGGGTGGGGGAGAGGGCCTGTGCCAGGCTCAAAGGGTGGAGTGACTTGCCCAGTAAGGCGGGGCATAAGTCTGGGTCCCCTGACCCAGGTTCTCTCAAGCTCTGCCGTGGGAGATGCGACAGGCATGGCCCTGCCAGCCACTGGAGCAGCCTTGCGGGGTGAGGACAGCACCGTGCTTGCTCCCAGGCCCTCCAGTCTCGGAGCCCTTATTCGGCTGAGTAATAATCCGGCAACTACCCACACGGTGCCCTGCAAGGCCCTGGCCTATGGGCAGAGCTCAGTCAGTGGTGTGGTTCTTACACTCTGGTGACACCCATACAATGTCGCCAGCTCACCCAGGGCCCGGGTTCAAATCTATCCCTCACTGGACCAGCCCTGCTGCCATGCTTGCCTCCTGCAGGCTCAGCCCTTTCCGTGAATGAGAACCAGCACCCTGTGCTGAGCTCCAGGGGCTGCAAACTGAACAGGCCCTTTTCCCTGCAATCCAACAGCAACCCTGGAGTGTGATTAGGGTCGTGATACGGATGAGGAAACTGAGGCTCAGTGAGAACGGACTTGCCTGGAATCAAGCACAGGGGCCCTGCCTGCCGCCAGAGCCCATGGCCCTTCCACTAGATTCAGCTTCTTCCAATAAACTGCCCTCTCCAGGGTTATAAAGACCTGTATCAACATTACCTCACTGTGTCCGCTTAACAGTCTTAGGAAGCGGGGTTAGTAGTAGCGAGCAGTACGGACAGAACTTGCACGTCTGAAGCTAAAGTCTGCACCTGATCAACCCTCCCCACCTGTCCCCAGGCTCCCTCCTCTCCTGGGGTGGTACCTGCAGCAAATGCTTGGTCCCACAGGGGCCTTCTGGCCCTCCAGGAGCCTGACAAACCAGACTGTGCTTGGGCAAATTTTCCAGCTTGTGATGCCCTATTTGGCCCCGAGTCTCCTGGCCCTGCAAGAAGGGACACTGTCTCTTTAAATTCCCCAGTAATGGCCTTGCCATTCACTTCCTGTGGGACCTCAGGGGAGTCAGATCATCTCTCATCTCTTGGAGCCTCTGCTTCCTGATCTACATGGCGAGCAAGGCCCCTACCCCGGGTGGTGATCGGTGTGGGTGGCAATGGGCAAGCGCAGGGTACCCGTATGCTCCGCTGGCACATGGGCATGGCTCTGCCAAGAGGAATGCTCTTCTGTGCCAGCCCTGGCCTCTCCTTCGGCCCACGGAGAAGGTCCTTGAGACCTTTCCTCTCCAAACAGCACCCTCGGGACTCCCTGGGGTCACTTTCCAAGCACGATTAGCAAGTGTCTGTGGTGACCCAACTCTGGGCAGCACGCACACATTTCTGCCCATCCTGCCCACAGTGTAGCTCTCATTCTCAGACACTGTGCTCCCTGCTTGAGGAAATAGGGGAAAGACAAAGCTTTGCATACAACGTGCCAGGAATGTTAATGAATACCCGGGGGGCCCCCCCACAGGCCAGGCCTTCTCCCCTTTCCCCACCCTGGCTGTGCACTGTCCATTAGGAAGCTTCAAGCAAACGCAGCCTCCCAGGCCTGCTGGATCAGAATCTCTGGGGCACCTGGAACTCTATTCCCACTCCCTCAGTGAGTTCCCTGGACTGAGCCAGGCTGAGACCTGCCTGCGGGAACTGCTAACTGTGGGGTCTCCTGCCAGCCTCCTCCACCTGGATTCCACCATTAGTGCTTCACTTCTTTGTGGTGAGCACTGTTCTTTCCTCGGGTCCTCCTTTTAAATGCCAGTTCCCCGGCAGGCAAATGTGATGCGCCTGGAGGACCAGACACCTTAGGGATTCTCAGACAGGCAACAGCGTGTCTGTAGGGCCTGGGTGCACGGACGAGCGGCTACAACTGCTGAGGCAGAGGGAGGCAGAGACAGTTTCCCAGAGCCGATGATAAGGATACAGAAGCTGAGAGAGACAGAGAAGCAAAAAGACAGACAGACAGAGAGACAGACAGACAGAAAGAGACAGTAAGTGAGCACGCCTGTGGGCATCATGCCCAGCATGGCAGCTGGACATTTTGGTTATCCAGTCAGTCAGTGAACAGCCATTGACTGGGCTCCTCTATCACGTGCCAAACGGTGCCAGGCACTGTGAGCACCGACACAGACCAGGTGCTGGAGAAGCCCTGTCCGGAGGAAGGGCACTGTGGGACTACAGAAGCAGCAGAGAAGAGGTGTTCCCCCGTCTGAGAGGGCGGGCCACTGTCAGGGAAGGCTTCTCGGCTCAGCAGGTGTCTGGCCCACTAAGAATGAGGAGTCAGGCAGGGAGTGGGGAGGAGAGAATAGAGGGAGCAGTGGTTAGGGCCCATCACTCACAGGGCACTAGGGGACTAAGAGGAGAGCTGAGGCTGGAGAGGGGGCAGCAGGGTGAGGCCCGTGGGGGCACCTGTGGCTGGTAAGGAGTTTGGGCCACATAACAAGGGAGGGCTCACAGACCCCTCCAACACTGAATACTTTGCAGTGAGGTAAAGTTGGGGCTTCCAGGGGGCTCTCTCTCGAAGCTAAGTTCCCATGCTATCAATGTGATCCTGCTGGGTGACCCTGATCACCACCCAACTTCTCTGGGCCTCAGAGGATGGTTCCATGCTCCCATGAAGTCTGCTCTGAGGAAGCTCATAGGTCACCCTGGCCAGCAGGGACCAAAGGCTCTTGGCTGGGGCCACATAGGGGGAAGACAGGGTCGTGGCTCAACAAGGACTGCCTCAGTGGAGGAGAGACACAGAGCCTGGCAGCTGCAATGTGCTATAGGAAGTGATGTGACAGAGACACAGCCTCCATCGTGCCATGGGACATGGTGGAGAGGGCCTTGTCAGTGTAGGGGGACCAGGGAGGGCTTGTTAGAGGAGGGGCCTAGGGCTGGCCAGTGGGTTTGGGCCTAGAAAAGGACAAAAGACAGATGGAGGGAGGGGTATCCCAGGCCACACATGGGGCGGCAGATGCTATGTTTCCTCTGTTTGTTCATACAGCCTGTGGCCCCTGTGCACCTGCTCTGTGGGAGGCAGAACGGGACACCCCTTGTTCAAGAGTGATATGGGTCAGATGATTGGGGCAGGGGCAATTCAGCCATCAGGAAAGGCCCCTCTGAGGGCCTGGTGTCTGTGCTCAGGCCTGGAGAGTGCAGAGGCGGCAACCACACAGGACTAGCTGAGAGATGTTCTAGGCAGAGGAAACCGGGAGGTAAAAGGCCCTAAGGGGGTATGAGTGCCTTGACTGAGGAACAGCCCAAAGGGGTGTGGCTACAGGGGGAAGGTGAGGGGGGAGTGGAGAAGGGGGCCCAAGGGGCAGATAGGACCTGGTCATGTATCAGGACTACTGGAGGGCACTGAGACGAGGGTGGCTTTACTCTGGGTGTGATGCCACTGGAGATCTTAGAGAACCATGCCAGGACAGGACGGTTTAAACAAATCCTGCTGGCTGTGGTGTAGGCAAGACAGGAGGGCAGGAGTGGGTGCAGGGAGAGCAGGAGGAGACCACGTCGTCGGCCAGGGGAGAACTAAGGATGTGGCTGCGGGGTGAAAAGAAGTGAAGGCCCTATCATGGATCTTGGAGGCAGAACTGACTGGACGTGCAGGTGGACTGAGTGGGTGGGGGGAGGGAGGAGCCCAGGATGACCAGCTGAGGAGTCCTTGTGATCTGATACCCTCCTTCGCACCGGGCCCTGGGCACCCTCCAGCCTAATGTTTGGCTGGACTCAGCCACTGACTGTAGGACTGGGGTCTGATTTCAATGTAGCATCTTCTCCAAGAAGGAGAGTAGGCAGTTTTGGACCTGGCAGCCAGTTTTGGAAGCCAGCAGTCACCTCTCACGTGGAGGGGTGCACAGACCCATTGGCTCTGACCTGCCCCCTCGAGAGTCAGCTCGCCCATGTCTCCAGCCAGCTTCCTCACGCTCACAGCCTCGGAGTCTCCCTGGATGTCAGGCACTGCGTTCCGACGGCCTGTTCGGTCACAGGAGATGAAGTCCGAGTAGGAGGACTCGACCTCCATCATGCCTGTCGCATCATTCTCGAGCCTGTGGGGAGAGGCAGAGGTGAGTCCAGACGCTGGTGCAGAGGAGACTCAGCCCCAGCTCCCCAACTCTTTGACAAAATAACAGTTACTGCCTTTTTGGTTGGAGACAAAATAGAAAGCACAGAAAAGCACCAAGAACCAAGCAAGTCACCCATAATTCCACCACCCAGACAATCACTGTCAACATTTTAAAGAACATGCTATCAATATTTATCTAAGTCACTGATAAATATTTACACATTTGTCACTATTATGTGCCAGGCGCTGACTAGGTGCTGCAGATACATCAGTGAACAAGTCAGTATGGTCCTTGCCTTCAAGGAGCTTACAATCTAATAACTGAGTAGTTACCACAGTGCTCAGGGCTTCAAGGGAGAATGCAGGGTGCTGGAGTGACTACTAGGGCCGGCCCAAGGCTGGCAAGTGACATTTTAGCTGAGAACCAAGGATTAGTACACATTATCTAGGTCAAGAGTGAGGGGAAGAGCATCCCAGAGAGGAGAACAGCATGAGTGAAGGCTCTAGGGAGTGGAAGGCATCATGTACCAGAAGAACAGAAAGAGTCTGGAGTGTGGAAGAAGAGGAACAGTGACAGCAAGGACACTGCTGAGGTAGGCAGGGACCAGATCACACCTGTAACTTGGCCTCTGAGGGGTTCTGGGTGAGGTCAGGAATGGTCAGATCTGCCCTCTACAAAGATGACTCTGGCATCTGTGTGGAGCAGGGCCTGGAGGGGGGCAAGTTAGGCAGCTCCTGCAGAAGTTCAGGTGCAAGAAGACGGTGGGTGGGAAAAGGTGGTGGTGGCCATCATATAGATTCTAGACGTATTTTGGAGGATGAATCAACAGGACTTGGTGTATGACTGATGGGAAGTCAGGTTTTTGACCTGCATAAGTAGGTGGGCAGAATTGTGGGTTACTGAGATGGGGAATGGGAGAGGAGGACTATTTTGAGGAGCGGAGGTGGAGTGGAGATTATGCTTTTTTTTTTTTTTGGCCATGTTAACTCTAAGAGGAGAAGGAGAGTAGGTCCATGGTGATACAGGGCTGGAGCTCAGAAGAGGAAGCTCCTCAGGGGAGGACAGATATGAAATGAGGAGTTATTACTATAGAGTTGGTGGTTCACAGCCCTGGTGGTTGATAATACAGCCTAGAGAGAAGAGAACCACTTATATAAAGAAGAGCCATATACATTTAAATAATTACTTTAGAGTCATACCATATATTTCACTTTATAGTCTGCTCTTGCAAACACTTTAGAACATGTCATTGAGGGTCGTTCTTTATGATTTTTGTATATGCACACTTGGCTGTCCCATGATTTATTTGACCACTCACCAGAAATGAACATGGAGGTGCTTAGCTCTGTTGGCACAGTGGTTAAGCATTCAGCTGCTAACCAAAAGGTCAGCAGTTTC